AAAAAAATACATAATAGATTTCCAACTGTTTCGCTGGCACTTCGCCTGTAGCTGATCCCTTACCGACTTACTTTCATTTCTTCAATTTTTCGATTTTTAGTGGCTCCCACTTCAAGATTTAATTAGATGGTCTCAACTTCTCATCATTGTGATATGGCCCTTCAAAAAAAAATCTGTTTGATTAGTCAGGGGGCGGCTTCGTCGAAAAAAAAATGGGTGAGGCAAGCGCTACACATTTTGCCGCCGCGATGAAAAGGTTTGTTGCTTATTAATTTGGTTCTTTCATATGAGTATAAGTACCACCAACAACGAGAAAATTATATAAAATCGTAGAAATCTGAAAAATGACGTTTACATAGCTACAAAAAAACGGAAATTTCCAGAACAAAAAATACAATAGTGTAATAATACCCGTATATTTATATAGGAAACTCTTTTTAACTTCTGCATTTGCAAAATTGTTTACATATCCATCGAGTCTATGTTAGAACTTAGTTCAATGTTCATGGCGGAATGGCCAGATGCGGTTAATCTGTCCCTGTGTCATTGTTTGAACATTATAATTTTTCCATTATTTTTTTTTTTGACGAAAAGAACGTTCTCCACTGCCCAAGTGGACTAAAATAGTTAAAAGTAATCCTTAGAGATACTACTATACTTTGGAAAGTTATCACTCAAAGTTATTTTTAATAGCATGTAATAGTTATATTATTATACTAGACGGATAAGGGATATTTTTTAACCTTAAGTGAATAGGTATTAATCTCACCGGTGAGCTTAACTAAGCCACGCAAATGGTTATTTTACCATTTATCGTCGTGTATAATACAAAACATTATTTTTTGGTCATAATATTTCTGGAGCGTCATTTTATATCGGTGCATTTGAATAGGATGACAGATGTCATTAGAATGCACGCCTCGCATCTGTTTTCACTTTATCTACCCTTACGGTTAAGAGTGATCCTTTAACCACTGCTTACTTCTAAATAAGAGTAGGCTTTAGCTACTCATTGAAACCTATTAAAAATGTCATTTTTAATATATGCTATAAATTAAAGTAATAAAAAAAATGCAATCCTATTACAATATATGCGCAAATTAGTGGCTGGTAGAGATGGCTATACTTTTAATAATCGCTTTCAGTCAAATTGACATTACAAAGATTTTTATTATACTACATTATTCTTATAATAAAGACATTTTTTTTTCAAATTTGCAAAAATGCCGCCCCTAAGATTATGGCCGCCTCCCCCACGAGCCGGCCCTGGATGTAGTCAATAATGTTTTTGAATCTAAGCATACAGCGCTCACTCGCTAGCAAAATCGCTTTTTTTGTGTAATTTGGTAAATGCTATGTGATTATACAGGTGGTTGACTTGCGTAACGCATCATAGGGATTTCAATGTAAAATTCATAACATGCGATTATTGGCTCCGCCAAATTATTTGAGCAAAAATGTATTAAGGTTTTTTGTAGAAAAAAAAAATTTTTTACGCAATCAACGCATTCTTTTCCAATTTTTTTTGCTAATAAGACGGAAAATTGGGAAAATAAAACCGCGCATCTTTTTTCAAATAATCTGTGATGCCAATGGAATTTTCTAAAAGCAAGAAGATGTCCAGTTAATCAATTAGCAGCAGTCGAAATGGATTTTATGATCGACTTGGTTACTTGTCTTGCCAGATAATGGTGACCTTTTCGAACATTTAATTGTTAATTGTTTATATTAGGAAACCGTTTTTTAAGTAATTTTGGTAGCTTTGTTTATGTTGAAAATTTCGCTGTTCTAAATATAATACTGTTGTGATTAGAATTTGATTTGTTTTATAGGCCAGAGACATTCCATGGCAATGAACGGATATTGGCGTAGTTTTTTTGTATTATAAAATTCCATGGGCATCACAGATTATTGAAAAAGATGGCGGGTTTTATATTTTTCGCAATTTTCCGTCTTTATTATGCAAAAAATTGAAAACTAATACGGTTTGTATTGACGTAAAAAAATTTTTTTTCTAACAAAAAACCTAATAACATTTTTGCTCTAAAATAATTTGGGGAGCCAATAATCCATGTTATGAATTTTACATTGAAATCCTTAATGATGCCGTTACGCAAAGGTCACCACCCTGTATATGACACTACGAAATATTTTTTAGCTTTGAATCAAATCTCAGTGTGGCGTGAATTCAATTCCGGCGTTTCAGAACAGGCAAACAAATCGACGTAAATCTTTTTTGTAATAACATCAATTTAGTAAAAACTTAGTGCCAGGAAACCCATACATATTCTTCATATCATATTATAATTTCATATTCACTAATTCCTCTGTTATAAACTGTGGTCTGAACGGGCGGCCAATGGTTGTAATTCTTAAAAAAAAACAGATAAATAGAGGTTAATATTGTAGTTTTAAACACTTAACCAGCGGACACATTGGGTGAACTTGACTGGCAAAGATCATATTTGGTGGTTCGGTGGGACCTTGTATTCTGGATATACGTTATTAAAGTTAATAATGAGACTTGAGATGAATAGTACATTATATTCAAGGTATAGAAGTACTGTATTTTTGACTGAGCAGCCAGATTACAATTTCGGGTGGGTGCTTGCGCGAGGAGTGTAAGGTGCGAAAATGCAGTGGCCGTCGGAAGACCGAAATTCCATGGGGGGCAGATAGGTGGAGGGGTTACGGGCGGGGAAGAGGCTCGTCATCATAAGGAAAATTAATAAAAATGTTTTAAATTTATACATTTATTCGTAGGGTATCGTATTAGCACTGCAGCCTTATGCCATATTTTTATCAGAGCAAGGCACATCAAATTCCTTGGAGTTTTTGAGCAATATATCCAAGACACTTTGAACAAAATTGATCAATATCAACTTCAAATCATCAAAAACACCACATCACCTTCATCTCGTGACGCTTAACATACGAGTAATCCGTCAAGTCGTTGTGTAGTCATTGTCGACTTACCACTGTCTTCATCTCCTTAAAGTACTAAAA